ACACACACACACACACACACACACACACACACACACACACACACACACTCTCTCTCTCTCTCTCTCTCTCTCTTACCAAAAAGGTCAGGGAAATAGGCTTCTTCTTGCTAATGCTTGCTAATAACAGCCTATCCCCATTTTCACCTCCAGTCATCTCCAACCCCCCTAGCATACTGACTCCCCAGCAAAGCCAGGCATTCTACCATCCAACAGCTGATCCTTTTAGACCCTAAACCTCTGTTAAGAGCTAGGATTTACCACCCACCATCATCATCTGTCAGGACAATTATCCCTTCCATATCACAATTTTCCCTACCATGGCTTCGATAAATCACAGGTCAGCATAAGAAATTAAATGGGATTTTTTTGTGAGTTTTACAAAGGCTGCAGATGACACAGAAAAAGTTTAGAAACTCACAAACACGTAAAACATGTGTATAGTATTATATAAGATAGCCTATGACCAAATATTCAATCCAAATTTTACATTAAGGTACTGTAAACACCCCATAAAAGAAAAATAAAAAAATTCAGACTTCTTCTCTGGTATGAAGGGAGAGACAAAAAATTTTTACCCGGATTTTCCAGATTACAAGGGCACCGAGCCCCTAACCCCTGCAATGTGGAAGGGATAACTGTAGTTCTCAAAGCTTACCACCCCTTCCTCCTCCCAACAGGACCTGGGCCTCCTGTCTCCAGCATACACACCAGGGAGGAAGAGTTGGAGGAGCTGGCCAGGCTGACCAGGGCCAGCAATGGTGGATGCTGTCACCCACATCTTATAGTATCCTCCAGGCAGGTCCCATAGGGTCACATTTAGGGTATCCGCACTCACTAGAGGGACAGAGAAGATGTGGACAGAGCTGTCAGTGAGAGGAAGGTAGAGTGAAGGGGACTGATAAGGGTAAGATGGGTTCATTCTAGGGAGGCTTCCTGGAGGAAGCAGGCTCTGGGCCAGGTTCAGAAGCAGTGTGAAACAATGGAAAGAGCTCTGTGCCAGGTGCCAGGAAACCTGGGTTTTAGTCCCATTTCTGCACTAACTCACAGAGTAGCCTTGTGCTAATCCCTGCCCCCTTTCTGGGCTTCTTAGTTTCCTCATCTGTAAAATGAAAGAATTGGACTATAATCTCTTAAGCCCCATCCAGATCTAACTCCTATGCTCCTAAACTCCTATGCTCCTAAACTCCTATGCTTACTTGTGTGACCCTGTGCAAATTCTTTCCTTTTATGGGCCTCAGTTTCCTTATCTGTAAAATGAGATGATATGAGTACACTCTGAGGGCCTTTCCAAAATTCTGTTATTATATGAGCAACACTGTGATAGGTAAGGAGAAGTTCCTGGGTGGCAGGTTCTAGAATTAGCCACAATGGATTGACCGGTGAGTGTCTACAAAGACGTCCTAGAGAAGGTGGAATCTGAGGCTGGATTGGGGGCCAACATAGGGGGAAGAAGAAGAAGGGGGTAGAGGGTTACCATTCAGAAGGGTGAGGCGCCCAGAGTCTGGCTGCACATACAGGGTGTAGTGTGTGAAGTGTCCCCCACGTTGTCCTCTGGGGAGCTCAGCCCATGCTACAGTCAGTGCCCCACTGGCAGCACTCGGAATCTGCCACAGAACTGGCCCTTCTAGGGGTGCTGGGGGGAAGAGTAAATATCAGAGGCTTTGCTTTGCTTTTCTTTGCAACCCCTTCCCTAGGAACCCACATGCCACCACCCCTCCTCCTATGCCCCCTCCTGGTTCCTTTACCTATCTCCTGACTGTACCCCCAGACTGGAGTGGCAAAGGCCAGGCCCTTCAGAGAGACACTACTCACAGTCACTCGGTATGGAACTCCTTTCTTGAAGTTTCCTTGGAAGAGAGGGAGGGGGCATGGGTCCAGAAAAACCATAGGAAAAGTCCACTCTACCCTTCTCCCTCCCACCCCCATGCCTGCTTCCCCCCTCCTATCGCATCTTCTATTCTTCATCCTTTTTGCTTATGAGCCCCTCCTTTCCACGGTTCCCTAGAACCACCTAATCTCAGAGTTGTAGAGGACCTCGGAAGACATTGAGAACACTCCCACCTCAGACTACCCATATCTCCTGCAACATCCTCTCAAAATGGTCAGTCATCAGGCCTAGAAGACTTACAAATGAAGGAAGACTCATTGCTCCCCTGAGACAGCTCATTCTACTTTTGGACAACTCTCACCAGGAGGAAGTTTTTCCTGATATTAAGCCTACATCTGCAACCTCCACCAACCACCATGAATGTGTAAAACCAGCTATTAGTCATTAAACTACTACTGCCCCCTTTACAAGTCTTCTGTTCTCCAAGCTCGGCATTCCCAAACTGATCTTATAATTTGATCCTGAGTCCTCTCACCATCCTGGTTGAACTCCTTGGGACATGCTGGATCCTGTCAAATGTCCTTCCTAAAATGTGGGGCCCAGAACTGAACAAGTATTGGAAATGAGGCCTGAGTAGAGCAGAAGATAGTGGGATTATCACGCCTTTATTCTGGGCCCAGTGACACTTAATGCAGAGTCATTCTTTTGTATTGTATGACTGATTCCTTTTGAGTTTGCAGTCCACTGAGGACCCTGGCTCTTCTTTTTTTTTTAACCACTCCTAACTCATGTTTTCCCCATGACACAATTTTTCCTGTCCATCTGTCCATCAGTCTGTAGAACCCTTCAGCAGCTTGGAGGGAGGACTGAGGCATCCCTTCAGCCTGATTGGTTCCTTAATTCACCTCTCAGCAGTGTGCTGTGACTCCCATTCGGCACATGGGTCCAGTTGAGCTCCTGGAAAGACGTCTCTTCTTTGGTCCACTCCACTATAAACTCCTGGTGTTCCTGTGGCTCTGCTAACCATGTGACCAACATCCCCTGATTTCCCATGCTGTGTACTTGGACCTGCTTAGGAGCAGAACCTGGGGACAAGTGTGAACCAGGAGGCTTGGTGCCCCAGTTACCAACACAGTAGGGGAGTCAAGGCCTCTTCCACCTCTTCCCCACCCCAAGTCCCATTCCCCCTCCATTACCTCTGCTTCTTCAACTCTCACCCATTGAGTCCCTACTTGCTCTCTGCTATTTCTGCATGGCCTTTCCCCCAAAATCACAGAATCTCAGAGATGGAAGACATATCTACATTCATCTGTTTCAAACTACATCTTAACAAGGATCCTCTTGACAATATCCCTCATTGGTCAGTAGGTAGAACACTTCCAATGATGGGGAACTCATTTCTTCCAGAAGCAATGTACCCCTACTCTGGGATAGTTAGGACTACTTAGAGCCAGGATGGCTTCACCATCCGTCCCTGGTACTTCCTGGAGGAAGCTCACAGTGCCTTACCTGAACAGGCCAGGGTTAGGTTGGATGGATGCCTCTGGCCAGTAATATTGAAGGCCACTATTGATACCCACTCTGTGTCTTTGGGAAGAAGGGTACTGCAGCAGGGGATGACCATAAGGTGCAGGTCTCCACCTGGTACCTGGAACACCACCTTATAGCTCAGCCCCAACCCAGGCATGAGGTCCTAAGCCAGGAAGAGAAGGGATTAATGTGACATGATGGGGATCAGCATTCATTCAATGTCCATTAATAAAGCACCTGCTGTATACGAAGGCCTGTGCTGAGTGCTAAGCCACTTTGGAAGAATGGGATTCAAAGTCTAGCTTAGATTGCTGGACTTGAAGTCAGGAGGCCTGAGTTCAGGTCTTGAATCTGCCATTAATGCTGGGCCACCCTAGGCTGGTCACCCCCGTCTCTTGGTTTCCTCGTCTACAATAAGGAAATAATGTATCTTTTTTTTTTCCTTAGGCAATTGGGGTTAAGTGACTTGCCCAGGGTCACACAGCTAGTAAGTGTCAAGTGTCTGTCTGAGGCCGGATTTGAACTCAGGTCCTCCTGACTTCAGGGCCGTTGCTTTATCCACTGTGCCACCTAGCTTCCCCAATAATGTATCTTGTACTACCTTCCTTGCGGGGTTATTAGAAGAGGGCTTTTAAAATCCATTAATATGCTAAGACAAGAGTTCCTACCCTCCCCAGCCCATAGTCTAGAAAAAGGACATTCCCTTATATTAGAACATTTGAACCCTTTAAGGTTGCAAGTATCAAAAGACATTGAGGACCAGGGAGGGGAAGAGTCTCTCTCAAAGTCACACAGCTACTCAGCGGCCAGAATAAATGACTTGAACCCAGGTCCCTGACCATCAAGTCCAGTACACTTTCAATTACATTATGCTGCCCCAATTGGGACTCAGGAAACTGAGTCCAAGTTCTCTCTTTCCCAGGTTCTGTGGATCTACCTTCCCCTTCCCACCCCATCTCCCATGCCCAAGTTACAGCTCCCTCTGACCTGGGGCCCAGGCACACCCTTGAGGAACACCCCCAGACCCCAGGTCACCTTCCATAGCAAAACATAGGACTCTTCTTGAGGGTGTGGGCCACTGCAAGGCAACCCAAAGACCCACACGTCCACCTGGCCGGTTGGGGCTAAACAGAAGCACAAGGACAGAGAAGGATGGAGTGAGGAACTTCTCCAGTCACTAGGAAGGAGAGAGGAGATGGTGGAAACACATGAGTGTCCAGCACTTGGGTCTCTCAGCCCTAAGAGAGGAAAGGACTTACCAGCAGGGAGGCTTTGGAATTTCAGGGTGGCGCTCCAGTCACTCCAAAAGCCCATATTGTTTTGCAGTTGGGAGCGGGAGGATACCTCATAAACTGTGGCTGGCTCTAAGCCTGGAAGCTCCAGAAAGGATGAAGTTAATAAATCTCTAGGCTCCACCTGAGGAAGAGATGAGGAGGGGTCATAACCCTCATGAGTGAGAAATAGCTCCCATAGGTCATGTAATAACCTCCATGGATCTATAGAATAATATACTATATAATAATAAAAGATTCTATAATACAATATATAGAATAATGTCCAATGAGCCTGTATTATTACATGTAATTACTCTCATGGGTCATGAGCTCCATGGGTCAAACAATACCTGCCATGGGCCATATAATAATCTCAATGGGCCCACTTAACATATGATTATCCCATGGGAAGCCTTATGAAGTGATACAGAATGAAGACAGCCTTGTGGCATACGATTGCAACGGAGTACTATTGTCATCCATGAAATGACGAGGGGGATAATTTCAGAAAAACATGACAACACCTATATAAACTGATGCAAAGTGAAGTGAGAAGAACCTGGAGGTCATTGTGCACAGCAATGTCATAATAATGATCAACTGTGAAAGTCTTGGCTTACTCTGATCAATACAATGATCCAAGACAATTCCAAAGGACTTGATGAAAAAATGCTCTCCACCTCCAGAGAGAGAGCTGATGAACTCTGAGAACAAGCTGAGGTATAATTTTCTCTTTATTTTTCTTGCTTTTTTTCCAACATAGCTAATATGGAAATTTGTTTTGCATGATTTCACATGTACAATTGATTTTCATTTTGCTTGCCTTCTCAGTGGGTGGGGGAGGAGGTGGGAGGGAGAGAGAGAATCTGGAACTCAAAATTTAAAGAGAATATACTGTTAAAAATGAGTAAATAATAAAATAGAATAATTTTTTAAAAGAACGAAGGCAGCCAAACCAACATAGTAATAATAACTACCACGATTTATGCTGGGCTTGAAGGTTTATAAAGTACTTTAGATACTACCTGGGCAACTCATGTCATTTCTCTGAAGGATATCAAACTGCCTGCCATTTTCAGAAGGGGGTGGGGAAAGAGGATGGGAGAAAATTTTGGAACTCAAAATCTTATAAAGATGAATGCTAAAAATTTGCTTGACCACGTAACTGGGGAAAAAAATAAAATATAAAATGAGAGGTTGAATTAGGTGGCTTCTGAGACTCCTCCCAGCTCCAAGTTCTATGCTCCTAGGGTCTTGTTTGATTCTTGCCCAACATTATAGGCACCATCATATCCTTATTTTTACAGATACGGAAACTGAGGCTCAGAGAGGTCATCCGTGGTCACACAACTAGTAAGTGTCAGAGTGAAGAACTGAACCCAAGTTGCTCTTGACCTCAAGTCCAGTGCTGACCACACAGCCCCTTCCCACAGTTCATAATGATGAAATTAAGGCAATAACAGCAACAAAATCCATGCTAAATAAATCACCAAAATGTTCAAAACAAGCAGGATGATTTGACTACTATCACATCAAAGATAATATACAGGTCTTTTGTCCTGAGATTAACAGCTGAGAAATAACAAAAGATGTTCACGTTGATCATAGCCTCAGGGGCCAGGTTGCTGACCTGATTCCTGGGCAGCCCCTGAGGTGGCACAGTGGGGCACATTGTGGATAAAACACTGGCCCTGGAATCAGGAGGACCTGAGTTCAAACACTGTCTCAAATACTTACTAGCTGTATGACCCTGGTCAAGTCACTTAATCCTGGTTGCCGAGAGAGAGAGAGAGAGAGAGAGAGAGAGAGAAATAACAGAAGTTCCCAAATATATATAGTAATTTATAAATCTCTTTTTTTTCTAGTTTTGTTTGTTTTTCTTTTATTTTTTTTTTAAGATTAAACAGGCTTTATTATGAACTCGAATGCAAAATTCTAGATATATAGACTCCAGGGACAATTAGTTTAGAAAACACTCTTTTTTTTTTAATAAGAATAACTCAGTCTCCGTAGAAACTGTCAAAAATTGCCAGTGCTGACTATATTTCAAGCCATCATGGTGGGGTACTGGGAAAAGTTAAAAGTTTTCGATTAGCAATAATCTCACCTTGGATAAACCTCATTGGCTACAATATTACCACTGCGCAAAGCTTTTGTTCTTACTTATATGTTTGTATATGAGTGGTAACAGCAGAATAGCCAGAGACAACCTGGGCTCAATATGATACATATAGACTGTGTGACCTTGGACAAGTCCCTTAACATCTTGGCTCACCAGGCAATTCTCTAAGACTCTAAGTTGCTTAGTAGCTGGTGATCTGCATTGATAGAGGGGATTTTTCTCACTGGGAGGTTCTGACAACAATGAAATCACAAGTGTGGAACTTTATCTATCATCTATCAATTTTAAAATCTCTATTATAAATATACAGTACATATGTTGTTGTTGTTCAGTCATGTCTAACTCTTCATGATCCCATTGGGAGTTTTCTTAGCAAAGATACTAGACTGGTTTGCCATTTCCTTCTCCAGCTCATTTTAAGATGAGGAAACTGAGGTAAACAGGGTTAAGTGACTTGCCCAGGGTCACACAGCTAAGAAGTGTCTGAGGCCAGATTTGAACTCATGAAGATGAGTCTTCCTGACTCCAGACCCGGTCTCTATCCACTGTGCCACCTAGCAACTCCATAATACATATGGGTGTATATACATGTGTGTATATATATTTATATTTTTATATATTACACATAACATATATAATTTTACATATACATTTGTATATAAATATATTTATTTATCATTTATTTATTTAATTTTATTTAATATTTATTTATATTATTTATATATACACATTTAAATACTCTTTTTCAATGAAAGTTAAAATAAAATGGATTTAAAAATTAATAGTAGCCTTCACGAGCCACATAACAAACCCCACTGGGTTTTGTAATAATCCCCGTGAGCCATGGAATAACTTCCATGTGCCATGAGGCCCTGTAAGGAGCAGAAGCCCAGAATCTCTGGATTGGACGGAAACTCAGAAGTGGTCTAGTCCAAGCTATCCCTGAATAAGAATGTCTTCTGCCACATACTGGCTAAGTTCAGCCTTTGCTAAAATGCCTCTAGTAATGGTGACCTCACTACTTCCCAAGGCAGTGGGCCATAGAGGCAATAAACGTTTATTAAATTCCTAACCTGTGCTAAGTGCTGGGGATACAAAAAAGAGGCAAAAGACAATCCCTGCCCTCAAGGAGTGCACAATCTAAATGGGGGGAGAGACAACAAGCAAACTATGTACAAACAACCTCTATACAGGGTAAATAGGAAATGATCCACAGATATAGTACCTACCTCCTACAGGGAATACACTAGGATTGAGAGATTGGGAAAGGCTTCTTGGAGAAGGTGGGATTTTAGTTGGGACTTAAAGGAGTTGGAGATAAGAAGGGAGACATGGGGGTTATTACACAGATGAAGATATTAGTCACTACTCTTTGGGGCTAGTCATTCAGCCTAGCCTAAATCTTTAGAGTTATTTTATAATCTAGCCCACATCTGTCTCCCTATCACAGACACGTGGGCTTGACTATTCTGGGTCTGATCATGTCATCCCCTCCCCTTACTCCATAAACTCCAGTGACTCTATTCCCTCCAGAATCAAATACAAAATGTTCTGTTTGGCATTCAAAGCCCTTCATAACCTAGTCCCCACCTACTTTTCCAGTCTTCTTATACTTCATGTATTTTTCAATCCAGTAACACTGGCCTCCGGACTGTTCTATAAACAAGACACTCATCTCTTGGCTCCCAGCATTTTCTCTGGCTGTCCCCCAAGCCTGGAATGTTCTCCTTCCTCCACTCTGACTGCTGACCTCCCTGGCTTTCTTTAAGTCCCAGCTAATATCCCATCTTTTACTGGAAGTTTTCCCCAACTCCTCTTAATTCCAATGCTTAATTCCTATGTTATTTCCTATTCATCCTGTATATGGCAGCTAAGTGGCGCAGTGGATAGAGTACTGGGCCTTGAGTCAGGATGACTCATCTTTATGAGTTCAAATCTGGCCTCAGACATTTACTTAGCTGTGTGACCCAGGGCAAGTCATTTAACCCTGTGTAACTCAGTTTCCTTATCTTTAAAATGAGCTGGAGAAGGAAATGACAAACCACTCCAGTATCTTTACTAAGAAAATCCCACATGGGGTCATGAAGAGTCAGACATAACTGAACAACAACATTTATGTAGCTTGCTTTGTATATATTAGTTTGCACATTGTCTCACCTATTAGGCCGTAAGCAACTTGAGGTGTCAGGGACTGCCCTTTGTCCTTTTTTTTTTTTTTTGGTAGCACTGTGCCTGGTACATAGGAGGCCCTTAATAAATGTTTATTGATTGACTGATGGACAGAGTCACATGTAGTCATCAGTTAATCCTATCCAGAACCTACTTATATGGGAAGTAGCATGGTATGATACAAAGAGAACCCAGAAGATTTGTATTCAAATTTGGGTTCTGCCACCCACTGTTTGTGTGACCTTGGGCAAGTCATTTCCCTTCCCTGTGTTTCTTCATCTGTAAAATGGGGCCAATGATAATAGTACCTATCTCCTAGAGCTATTATGAGGATCATTTGAATTAACATATGTAAAGTGATTTGTAAACCTTAAAGTACCATATAAATACTAGTTATGAGTATTATTACTATTTTCTGGAACGTCAAACTCAAAATGGCCTTCAGAAGTTTGGGAGATGCGACTCACATATTGCCATACTGAAGCAGAGATGTCCCGGAAACGAAGCTGATACTTGAAGTTTTCATGGGGAGGCCAGGCCGGAGCAATGACAGTGACAGTGACCACTGTGGGGTCATCAGAGAACTCTACTTCATGGGATAACTTTGGTGGCTCAGGCTTCACTGGGGGAGAGAAAAAAGCAGTGTCCCTGTGGGCCCCAGGGTCCCCCAATCTGCCACTCTCCAGACAGGCACCCCCTTCCCTTGCTCTCTGGGAGTACCTATGGAATCCAAATACAAGCTTAATGGCTCCGGGTCTCCAGGCTGGGAAGCGTTGTCCTTTGGGCTCAGCCATACAAGGTACCGGTCAGAGACAGTGAGACGCTCTCGTTCCACAATGATCCAACTTTGGCCTTTGGGCACTGTGACATTTTGGATCCTGTTAGGGTGGCTGGTGAGGGAGAAAACAGAAAGACTGTGGAGGAGGCAGGGCACAGGAAGCTAGAAGCACCACAGCCCTGGACGGGATAGCTGTCCTCTCATTTGACACACGAGAGAAGTTACAGGATCATAGGCCGAAAGCTAGAAGGGGACTCAGAGGCAGTCCACTTAAACCTCTCCATTTTACAAATGAGGAAACTGAGGCCTCAGGAGATTAAATGATTTGCCCAAGATGATATTTAATAAGCATCAAAGGCAAGATTTGAACCCAGGTTCTCCCATTCCCGAGCCAGGGCTCTTTCCAATGCACCACATTTCTCTTCAGTAAGGGAAGACTTGGTCACATGGAGGAGGAAGTACATCAACGGGGTTAGGGGGTGGGACCCAAAAGCTGCCATTTCTCTGGTGCTGTTGGAGGAAGGGATGTGGGGGAGGAGGTAGAAAAGTCACATTTTACTCACTACTTTAAGCTCTGATAGTAGAAGTTATAAGGAATGCCAGGATCCAAGCTGGGTTCCCAGGTACAGTTCATGTGCCCCTTGGGTCTCATACAGTAGCACTGGAGTTGACGGAGTGGAGCTGAGGAGGGCAGGGATCCCTGGTCAGCATGCTGCCCTGTTCCAGTAAACCCAGAGAGAGCTAGTCACGTTATTCCCCTCGCCCGCAAACCCGAGGCTCCTTATTGCACCCGTAGTCACGATCAACCTCTGCTGCCTGGCCTTTCCAACCTCGTCTCCTATCATGCCCCTTTACTCACTTTCCATTCCCCTCCTCACACTCCAGCCAAACTACTGGACTCCCTGACCCCTCAGTTAAGCTCACCACCCTCCTGGCTCATGTTGTCCCCCATGTCTGGAGTATTCTCTCTCCCTCTTTTATCTGCTTAATTCCCGGAGTCTTTTAAAGACCTGAAAGGGATTATTGATCCATTCCTCCCATTTCATAAAGGAGGATACTGAAGGCCAGAGAGGGCTCAAGTCCAGCAGCTGGTCAGTGGCAGGAATGGGAGGCACCTCAACTTATCTATTTTTGAACTCTTTCCTATAGACCTCCCTGACTTCCCATTTCTTCCTAGAAGCCCCTGAATCCTTTGGTTTGACTCAATAACGGCCTTCTTCTGGGTTCACATGTGTTACTTCTTTTCTACCTCTCTGATCATGTAATCATGAAGAGTATATAGCCTGATAAAGTACAGTGTCCTAGTGCTTTGAGATTGGCAAAGCACTTTCCTCGTGACTATCCTGTAAGTTAAGCAATGTAAATATTTTCATCCCCATTTTACAGAGGATGAAACTGAGACTGAGGGATAAAACTACTTAACAAAGCTAAGTGAAATTTTTACACTGAAGTTCACAAAGCACTTTATATACATTCTCTAATTCATTCTTCCCAACAACTCTGGGAGGTAGGGACTATAGGTATTACCTGTACATTTTAGAGGTAAAGAAGAAACTGAAGTTCAGAGAGGTCCAGTGATTTGCCCATGGTCCCCACTGCTAGTGAGGAAGTATCTGAACCAGGATTCCAATTCAGGTTTCAACTAAGTCTTGAATTTTTTTTTACACTTGGCATGTACCTGTGTCATCCCCTGCAGTAGCAGCAGTCTCCACGAATTCAAGGGATATGTTTTATCAGAATTTCCTAGTTTACCCAGTGACCAGCACAAGCTCTGTACAGAGACTGTTTAATAAATATCATTTGAATGACCAACTGCCAGCTTCTGCCGCACCTGGGGCTGGGGCCTTACTTAGCGGCCCAGAGCTCTCCCAACCCTCCTTCCTCCCTTGCCAAGCTGAGTACATCTCATCCACCAGGTCTCCTACATTCCCTGGGGCCCCTGAGGAGTTAGCTTCCCAGCGGCTAAGGGCTTGGGGGGGGGGGGGGAATAGAAAGAGAAGGCAAGAAAGATCCTACCCAGCACCTGCCTGAGGCGCACCATGAAGCAGGGGCCTTCCAGGACCACCAGAGCTGGGTGAACAGCCCAAGGGCACAGAAGATTGTAGAGCCGTTAATCACTCACCCTCTGGGACATCCAGAGACCTCACTGGCAAAGTCAGCAACAGCCACAGCATTAGCAGCAGCTTTGGTGGTAGTGGCTGCATCAGGAACAGAGGGAAGCTGGTGTCTGGAGTCCAGTTGAACCCAAGTGTGTCCATGGTAGCCCCTATCTGGCTCCCTGTGCTCCTTCCAGTTAATCCAGACTTGGGGCAGAAAGTCCCAGATCATGGGAGGGAGGTATACCACAACTGAAGGGCCTATGAGGATGAACGTTTCTCTTAGGGGAACTAAGGCAGAAGGGAAGTGTGCCCCTCAGCTGGGCGGTGAGGAGAAGGGGTGCTGGTTGACCACCCACCCCTACAATGACCTACACACACACACATACAAAGTCATTCTGAGTTTTATTGAGACTTTGAGAGAGCTTGGACCAGGGCCAACCCACATCCTGAACCCAGGCATCCGGCCTCCCAGCCCCAGCCACCCACCCTTTCCCCATCCCCCACAGTGAGCACAGAATAGCAACCGTCAATTCCCTGCGTGACTAAATGATTCTGGGTGTAGAGTAATGTAGGTATCACTGTGTGTGGCGTGGCTGTGAGTGTTCACAATCATGTATGGGCCAATCCCAGGTTGCAACTGTAGGAATACATCTGAGGTCCTGTCCAGCTTTAATCCATGATCCAATAATTCTGTATGACAATTTTTTCACCTAGACCGGAAATCAGTGACTTAGGAGAGCTCTCTATGACCACCCCCACAATGGATGTCCTCCTTGTATCCACAATAACAGCAGAAGAGTGATGGGTGGGGTGAATTAGGCGGGGTCCATTTCCCCAGGCTCTGTTCCCCAAACAGGTTCAGGGTAGGGTAAGCTCAAGGACCAGGCAGAGGAGAGATTCAAAGTTGAGGTGATAATACATACAGATCTAGGGCTGGGCCAGAGGGGCAGTCTGGAGAAGAGAATAAGGAGCAGACAGAAAGAGGAAGGACCTGGAATCTCACACCAGAAAGGAAAGTAGAGCAGAGAAAGGGAAGGGAAGGGAAACCCAGTCTAGCACTGGAAAATGGAGTGAGGGAAGAACAAAGTAGGGACAAGTGTGAGAGGCAAGAGCTAGAGCGTGGCCCCAGGAGGGGCAGAGAGCGGGGGGACCTGGAGTCTTGAACCAGGAGGAGTAGAGGGGGGATGGTCACTCAGCACAGGCTGCTGATCTCAGTCTTGCTACAGCCCCACTTGCAGCAGTTGCTGGAGACACCTGCGAGAACATCCCGACCACCTCGAAGGAAGCCCTGGCCAGACCTGGCCTCAGGCTCTGACTCTGACCGGCTCCTGGACATCCCGGACCAGCTAGGGCCTCCCACACTGCTGTAGAAGTCTTCAGGCTCCCTGGACAGTGGCAAGAGGGGACTGGACAGCCATTCAATCGAAGTGGTCTCCTGGGACTCACCCCCCAGCTCCTCAGCAAAGGCATCCCCTGGAGAAAAGAGTAAGGCATTATATCTCCCATGAATGGACTACCTTAGTCCCTTAACTGCCTCAGACTTCCTTCCCCAACAAAGAGATTTAGAAACTTCCAGCTTGTGCCTCTCATCTGTGCCTGGTGGTCCCCTGGATTTTCAGGGGGGTCCCCTGGGTTTTGAGCACATCTCCTTTCTCCCCAGGACAGAATAATGTCTTACATTTGCCTGTCCAACACCCCACAGAACCCTTAAATGTAAGTGGAAGTGTAATGCTAACAGTTCACATTTCAATGTCTGTTCCCTCATCAATAAAATGAATTTCGATAAGACGGTCTCTAAGATCTCCTCTGGCCGTGTCTCTGATCTGGGTTTCAATCCTGTCTTTGACAGAGACGGGCCATGTGACCTGGGATGAATTCCAGTCTGCTCTCTGAGCCTGAGTTTCCTCATCTGTAAAATGAGAGGACTAGATTAGGTAGCCTTCCAGTTCTGACTCTGATTCCTAGCTATCCCTGGCCCAGCCTGAAGCAGCCCCCATCCCAGCACCCCGTGTCTTGTTTGGGCTTTGACTTGACTCCAGGTCTCTGTTCCCCCTTCCCTTCCTACTACTCACCTGCCCTAGCCCTTCTCCATCGAGATCCCCCACAGGTAAAGATGACAGCCCGGATGAATTCTCGACCACACAGCTTTACTGCATAGGGAGATGTCCGGCCCTCGGTTGCTGGCAGATCCCCCAGCAAAGCCCACAGTACCAGCAACAGCACAACCTTGGGCATGGTGGACCAGAGGCAACGACTGCTGGGGAGAAACACCTGCCCTGGAGCCAGAGCACGATCTCAGGCCCAGCTGCCTTTTTCCATTCCTGCTTCTGCCTCCTCATTTATAGCCAACTGCTGGAAGATAAGGTATGACCTCTCTTATCTCCTCCAGCTAGCAGCAGGACCAATGTCTGTCTGCTCGACCCCTCCATTCCCAGGAGAGTCACCTGGGTTTAGCGATAACCTTTCCCCAGTGATGAGGGGAGGCTTGGGGAAGGGCAGATGATCAGGCAGGGACAGGGGAGGCGGGGGACTGAGGAGGATACGTGTCACTGACATTGCTGCAGATGAGGAAAATAACTAGACTTCCAACTGGGAGCCAAGGAGCTCGAATCCTTCTGCTGGGAAAAACACTCACATAGGATTTAGAACAAGATGGAATCTCAGAAACCATGTAATCTAATCCCTTCATTTCAGATGAAGAAACCTAAGCCTAGAAAGGAGAAGTGATTTTAGTTTAATTTAATTCAATGAACAGTAGGCACCTGCCATGTAGAACTCAAGAGTTTGGAGCTGGACATGCAAAGATAAAAATAAGAAAGTCCTTTCTCTCAAAAATATTACATTGTACTTACTGAGTGTGGCAGGAGACACAACATATAAACAAGTAAATATAGTATGAGGAAACTTGAGGAGGGAGTGAACACAAATAAATGGTGGAGATTGAGGAAATTGAGGAAATTTCCAGAGGAATTAAGCCTTAAAGAAAGAAAAGGCAGAGGATGTAGGTCATTCTAAACATGGGAAATGGCTTGTGCATGGAGACAAGAGGTGGAGGATGGAGTTTGGTGAATAGCTAGTAGTCCAGATGGGCTGGGATGTAAAGTCCATGAAATGTAGGACTAGGAAACATGACTGGAAAGGTGGGTGGTGCCAGGCTGTGGAAGACCTTAAATACCAAGGTTGTTGTGGAGACCCAAAGAGATAATATATGGAAAGCATTCTGCAAACATTAAATTGCTTGAATGCTAGTTATTTTTGTTAATTAGGAGAGGAGAGGCCCAAAAGGACTCTGAGGTCACACAGCTAGAAAGTATCAGGATTCTAATCCAGTTTTCTGCCTCTAACCACGTGTTCTTTTTATTACACAAGGGGAGAGAGACAGATAGACAGAGAGAGATAGAGAGAGATAGAGAGACAGAGAGACAGACAGAGAGAGACAGAGAGACACAGAGAGAGACAGAGACAGAGAGAGAGACAGAGAGAGACAGAGAGACAGAGAGAGACACAGAGACAGAGAGAGAGACAGAGAGAATACCAAATAGAGCAAGGTTCAGGGACTTACAAATGGAACTGAGAATCAGGGAAACATAAACAAAAGTTTTGAGGATCTATGAGAAGCAAGGCTAAAGGGAACAGAGCCAGGGGAATTCAAGGGATCATAGGACCGAAAAGATAAATGAGTCATTCAGTTAATAAACATTTATTAAGCATATACTATGTGCTAGACTATGCTAAGTGCTAGGGATACAGAGAAAGATAAAAGATAGTCCCTAACCTCGAGGAGATCGCAATCTAATGGGAGAGAGACCTGTAAACAACTATACACAAACAAGCTATGCATAGGAAATAATCAACAAAGGGGAGGTAACACAATTAAGAGGGGATAAGAAAGGCTTCTGGTAGATGGTAGGATTTTATCTGGGACTTGGCTGAGTGTAGGATAGACTGAAATAGGAAGAGACTTATGGCAGGCCGACCAACCAGAAATCTATTACCATAGTCCAGGAGTGAGGAGATGAGGGCCTGCATCAGGGTGGTAGCAGTACTCAAGGAGAGAAGGGGGCATTTTGGAGGGATGTTACAAAGGTAAAAATCAACAGGTCTTGGCAACAGATCAGAGATGAGGGATGAGAGTGAGGAATCAAGGATGATGCCCTGGTTGCAAGCATGGTGGACTAGTGGTGCCTCTGACAGTATTAGGGAAATTTGGAAGCGGGGGAGGTTTTAGGGGGAAACATTACGAGTTTAGCTTTGGACATGTTGAGTTTAAGACGTTTACAGGACATCCAGTTCAAGATGGAGATTAGGGCCAGATAATTAGATTTAAGAACCATCTGCATAGAGATGATAATTGAATCAATGAGATCACCAAGTGAAATAGTATAAAGAGAACCTAGGGCAGACCCTTGTTAGTAGGTATGACCCAAACACCTCATTATATAATTTACAGAATAGGAATCTCAGAAATGGAAGGGACTACAGGGGCCATCTTGTCCTGTACCTGAGCACTTGCCCTCTACTCCAGGTAAGTCATCTAGCCTTTGGGAAGACAGTACCTCTAGGGACAACCCATTTCAGTTGTGGGTAGCTCTAATTGTTACATCAAGCCTCAACTGGCCTTCCATCGACTTCCATGTATTGTTCCTAGCTCCACTGTCTGAGGCCAAGCAGAACATGTCTAATCTTCCTCTCAAGGAACAGCCCTTCAGCTATTGTCTTTCTGCTAATTGTGTCTTTCTCTAGTTTTAACCTATTTCCTTCTAATTACTCTTTTATGGAAGAGTCCTCAGTCACTGCACCAACTACTCATTCTGTTTTGGGCATGCTCCAAGCATGGGGCTTTGGTGCAACCAAGACTTCACTCTATGGTACTATTTCCTTTGTATGAACACTACTTTCCTTGGACGGCTAGGTGGCGCTGTGTCTAGAACATAGGCCTTTAAGTTCAAAGCCAGCTTCAGATATTTGAAGCTATATGACCTTGGGCAACTCAATCTTTGTCCCTCAGTTTCCTCATCTGTAAAATGGTGATAACAATAGTACCTACCTCCCAGAATTGTTATGAGGACAAGTTAGTATTTGCAAAGTGTTTTGCAAAGTTTAAAGTGCTGTATAAAAGGTGGCTACTATTTTCTAAATGCCACCTATAACTGAGTTAGCTTCTTTTGACTGCCCTGTGCCATACTGAGTTTTCAGCCCATGAACACCTCCAAATCTTTTTCATGTAAACTGCTTTCCAGCCACACTTTTCCCATCCATTACTTGTGCAGGTGATTTCTTTTTAACCTAAGTGAAGGATTTTAAATTTATCTAAATTTAATTTCATCTTATTGGATATGGTCCCTCATTCAAGCTGCCAAAAATCTTTTTAGATCCAGACTGCCAAATAGTATATTAGCTATCCTTAGTTTTTGGTCATCGGAAATTGGATTTAAAATGTCATCTATGCCTTCATCCAAGTCATTGAGAAATGTCAAACAGCTCAGGACCAAAGACATCTAGATGGTCCCTGAGGCACTCCTTTCCAAGCTGACATCAACTAATTAATGACTCACCCTTTGAGTCTGGTCATTCAATCAATTCAGAATCTACCCAGCTGTACTCCCACCTAACTCATTTTTTTCCATCTTGCTCATGAGGATGACATGAGGGAAATTCTGCTTTTCTTATATATTATTTCTATAACATGTCATTGATCTGCCAGCCTAGAAACCCATCAAAAAAGGAAAGCTTTTGTCATCTGACATGACCTCTTTTTCTTTGTAAAGTTGTATTGCCTTTTTCCTTTCTATCACAGGAATTTCCAGGATATAACTCATCTCCTCCCCTCTGAATCTTTTGTAAAAAGGGGGAAAAAAAGAATCTAGCAACTGAATCTGATAAATTATTCAAAATTCTGTACTAATTGTCTCCCATCTTTATAGAGACCTATGGACCTATTTTCTCTCCAGGGTCAAGATTAGCACGACCTGGGGTAAAACACTCGAAGTTAAGGCTATGGGATTCACATCAAGACTCAAACACTGATCTGTCTCCTTCCTCTGGGCCTCAGTTGCTTTCTCTGAAAATCATGGGTCTTGGGATTCAGAAGGGACCCAGATTTGAGTTCTATACGTAAGGTATGTGTGGTTGGTAGCTGTCTACATCTATATATGGCTTGAACGGCTCTGCTTGAAATGTGGCATAGATGTTCTAACCTGGGATCTGGCCCACCTCTCTCTCTCTAATTTTGGAGGCAATGGGGGTTAAGTGACTTGCCCAGGGTCACACAGCTTAGTAAGTATCTGAGGCCAGATTTGAACTCAGGTTCTCCTGACTCCAGGGCTGGTGCTCTATCCACTGCACCACCTAGCTGCCCCCTGCCCATCTCTCTAAAAGGGAGCTGGAGATTTCCACATTTGTGGGGAGCAGGAGTGGCGCAGTGGCTGGCCATTTGCTCTTTCCCTCACTTATACCCAGAAGGGATATTGAGCTAGAATTATATCTCTCCACCACAACTCAAGTATTGGTAGTCTAGGGGTACAATACTTTGGGGCCCACTTTCTCTGATCACTCTTCTCAAGAGGAAGGTAGCACTTAGCTTATTATTTTTATCAACTTAGCTCTTACCAAAAGCTGGTTACAGAAAAGACCATCATGAATAGCTAGTACATTTCTTTATCAAAGTAAATAGTTAACAAAAATTAGGGGAGCTATACAGATTAATAATAATAGCTAGCATTTATATGGTGCTTTAAGGTTTGCAAAGCACTTTACAAATATTGTGGTAGGTAGGAGGAGAATAGATCAAAGAATAAACACGATTTCATCAGCTCTTTAGCTGGAAGTGAAATAAGAGCTCAGCTCAACCAAGGACAGAAGTAATCTCACCAAGGGGATTTCCAGTCATTTTAGTCTCTAAGATTGTAAATTCTGAAAGTCAAGTGACATGATGGGAGGCCTGAGGGCTCCAGAGAGATCTCCAGTCCTCTGACGGCCTCCAACACACTGAAGTCACATCTTTCTCACCCAGGTATGTAGAACTCAATCAACCGGCTTGTTCCTTTAAAAAAAAAAAAACCACCCCAGGTATGGGCAGAGGTGTTAGATATGAAAAGTGAAAATTTTAATTCATTTCAATTATTATTAAGTAACTATTGTGCGCCAAATACTGTGCTGGGTAGCGAGAATACGAAGATGAACCAAGGGCTATGCTTATTCTCAAGGAATTCACAAGTCACACACATCTATACGGCATGTATCATCCGAGCACACACAATACAAGGCAGCATGTGGTAAGTGAAAATCAATCGACATTTATTAAGTACCTATTCTGTGCCAGGCACTGTGCCTAACACTGAGGATACAAA